ATTGTTTAAGACTAAAACTCTACCAGTCAAAAGTTTGGACATTCGTTCTCATTCACTGTTTTTCTTCATGCTTACTGCTTTTTACATTTTAGATACAGACAGAAGACATCAAATATATAATGCAAGATGAATGGAATTATGCAAGTAAAGACAAAAAAGTTGAAGTCAGATAAGTGAGTTAAAACTAAAATAACTGGACTTACTTAGCTTATTCTAAATCTGAGTAAGACCAGTTATTTTCATTTTAATTTGCTTATAATATCTTATTCCTGGATGTCTCAAAATTTGTATCAGTTAAGCCAACTAAATGCTCAAAGTATCCACCCTTTGCTTTGTCAAAAGAGAGTAAATCTGGGCGTACATTGTGCGATTTTTGACCCTTTTTGAGCCGATTTTTCGCTGTTTTGGAGATCGGGCCGAGTTTTGGTTTCATCGTGTGTTGTGCTTCATGTAGTAAACATGGAGTAATGAGAACCGATTTATACCTCACGATCGGCATTCGTAGGTCGCAAGAAAATCAAACTTGTTTGAAATCCAGTCGCCTCTCGTGAAGGTTTCGCTCTGTTGAAGTCGTTCCATGAGTCGATTTGCCAGAATCTGCCAAACTGAGCACACGCGGACACAGAAGTGGAAGCAGGATATGAGGTTGTGGAGGACGATGGTGTTTTGGACACAGGGCATGGAGGCGCAGCTAATCGAGCAACACAGAACAGAAGTTTGGTGAAAAACTTGATGTTACTTATCTCCAGTTCCTTCTGAAGAACTGACAACCCGTACTGCCCACGTCTGCCCACGTCTGCCCACGTCTGCCCACGTCTGCCCACGTCTGCCCACGTCTGCCCACGTCTGCCCAGACATTTCTTTGACCAGATTCGTCACCTCTTCTTTTTGGGCTTGTCTGCGCAGAGAATGGCACAAATTACCAAAGCAGCGCGTCTGTTTTTCTGCCTGGATCAGCATTGTGTCTCCGCACGTCTGTGTTTTTCTAATTCTGTGGTTTTCTACTTCTGGAACAACAACTCCGGTCGTTATGTGAACGTTCAGTGTGCGCAGGCAGGTCGCGTCCGAGCATCATTTCGTACAGTGTGAGAACATGATTCGTGAGCTGTGAACTTTTAAACCCTGTGGTTTGGTCGTACAGTTTAAGCTGGGGCTGAGTGACACGACCGAAAATATCGCACAGTGTACGTCCGGCATAAGTCTCTTGGCCTTCTGTCTATGACTTTCTTGATGAAGTCTCCTGGAATGGTTTTCACTTCACAGCTGTGTCTTTGTGTAAACCAAAGGGTGGATATTTTTATTATATATATATATTTTTTTTATCTAAAGCAAGTTTTGAGGAGTTTTGAGTTTATTTTTTGTTGGCTACATTTCACACATGTCCATTCATAGTTTGGATGCCTTCAGTGAGAATCTACAATCCTACAATCTGTCTATATTTGGAATACTACCAAACCAATATAATAGACGTGACATGGATATTATCTCATTTTCAGCTCCTATAGCAGAAGACGAATCCTATTACAATGGAAGTTTCTGACTGCTCCAAAATCCTCACAATGGATAAGTGACCTCATGTCGTTTCTTTTAAATATGATTTGAGAGCCCAACCAACTAAGTTTTACACTGTATGGGACTCTATAATCAAATATACAAAATCAAATGTCAAATCATTTTAACTTTACAGCCTTCTTAAAAAGGTGTCAGGGCAAATGTCTAATTTACTGTGCTTCCACTGGTACAAATAGTATAAATGAAAAAAATAAAAACAAAAAAAATACAACTATTAACTCCTAAACACATGCTTAAAAAAAAATATATATTATTTTAACATTACTTTTTATTTTGTATGATTATAAACGATAAACTTTTGCACCTTTGTTAGTGTTAGTATTAGTTTGCTCGACCATAAATGAAAACAAAATATCCTTAAATTTTTTAAAATTCTCATTGTGGTTTATTTTGTACGATCATAAACGACAAACTTTTGTGCCTTTTTTAACATTGCTATTAGTTGGTACGAAAAAAAAAAATCAAGAAAAATCAAGAAAAATGAAGATAAGAACTAGGAAGAAAGTGATTGTGTTTTCTGTAAAAGCCTTTTAAAAAGAGTATAGGGTGTTGTGTTTTGGAAAATACGGCGCTCTGGAGTTGATAGTTGATGAATTGTGCATTGAGTTTTGTTAGTTTTAATTTATATTTTGTCTCTTATATGTACAGTGAGTGAAGTTGTGAATGCAAACTTGTTGTTTATGCGTTTGGTGCCTTTGTTTCAGCTCAGACCCTTCCTGTCATGACCCATGTAGTCGTGGTTTATGTTTTGTTTTTGTTTTGTAATGCTGCAAAAATATCTACAATCCTAATAATCATGGAAATAAAGAAGAAAAGCTAAGCCTCATCTCGTCAGATCTCAGAAGTTAAGCAAGTACTAACCAGCTGGGCCCGGTTAGTACTTGGATGGAAGATCTCTGGAAATACCAGGAGCCACAGGAGGGCTTGTTGTACAAGGCAGTTCACCTACATTGCCAAGTATGAAAATGGTGTGTTTGAGTGTTGGTGGTGGTCAGAGGGGCCGATGTCGCAGTTTGGCAGCCTCGCTTCTGTCAGTCTGTCCCAGGGCAGCTGTGGCTACAAGTATTATTCTACCAGCACAGTGTAGAGTGATTGAATAATGCTCTGTAAAGCGTTTTTGAGTGTCATGAAAGGCACTATGTAAATAAAACGATTAATTAGATCTTTTGCCTCTTTAGTTTTCCACGGTCTCTTGGAATCATTTATTGAACCAGACAAAGATTAGTTTAGTTGTTGTTGTTACTATTGTTTGACTGGTCAGCGATTATTTCTATTGCGCACTAATACATTTTAACCAAGTAAAGAGTCACTTGAAGCCTTCCTCACAGTGGAAATGGTAAACAAACCTTTAGACCTTTTAGACATACTTGTCGTTTGATAGACTCCCTCATTGGCTGGCCTTTCCGCACTTGAATCTGTTGATTGTATTGTAGCTTTAGCCTTTTGCCTGGGTGGGCCTCGCTCCTCCGCAGACTCCAGTGTAGGATCTGATCCGTCTGCTCAGATTAAGCCCTGGTTTTAGGCACAGTCACTTTGCCGATATCTGCAGAGCTCACTGAATACTTAATGAGAAGGATACGCAAACTGTATTCTACTCACTCCCTCGTGCTTAAAGGTCCTATATTATGCTAAATTGACTTTGTTTGTGGGTCCGTCACCTGCTTGTTTCTATGGAGATGTTATTGCTCTGCCTGGAATATTCATTAAACAGCTTTACTTTACATTTATTCAATTACAGGTGGTTTTATAGCTCAAAAATACTTATACAACAGGCTAACATCACATATGAACAGTTCTTCAGATAAACTATAACATAAACAACAGAACAGAACAAGTTTACCAAACTCTCCATCTCACTCCAAATCACTAAATCCATTCAATTCTTCATCCTCGGTGTCACTTCTGAACAACTCCGTGACCTCCGGAGGTAAACAGAGCGCCGCGTCCTCTTCAAATCAAATCAAATCAAACTTTATTTATGAAGCGCTTTTCATACAAAAATGTACACACAACCAAACAACCCAGACACAGACACACATGCACGTACACGCACACACACTTACACATACTGACATGCTAAAATACATAAAACCGCTCATCTTCTGTGTAGCTGTTGTCAGACTCAGCGTTAGTTCCAGTTAGAATTATTCCTGGTCTTTCTGAATCCCGACAGGATGGTTTCAGTGTCACTGGAGTCCAGGCTTTGTCCATCCATCCAGTGACTTTCAGTGAAGTTTCATCCTTGCAGTTGTCACAAGTTTCTCACTCACTTGCTGGTCATTTTGGCTGTATATTTCGCTTCTTGCAACTTGCAAAATATGAGTTCAGTCTTCTCAGTTGTCTTTATAAGTTTGGTAAAATTTTAAATTTTGTGATTGTAGTACAGAAGTAATCATAGTAGCAGATGCTGATACTGACACACAAGACTAGAGCCTCTCATGGCTGTCAGTGTATAAGTTGCAGGAAACACTCAAACCATGAAAAAAGTGCGACTTATAGTTAAAAAAAATACTGTAATTTGGTAAAATATGTTTAAAAAATACTCCTGGCAATATGTCGATACAGCAGCTCACGATATCGATACGATATCGTTACATTTTTCAGTATTTTTGCACATGCCTGTACTCAATGCTCCTTCAATTGTCTCCCAGTGTTTCTCATAGAGGAGCATGGGCCCTTCACTGCTGTGGCTCTGTGTTGTCTAGACTGTCTGCTCCAGAAGCTGAGATGTCGATGATGTAGAGTGAACATGAAGTGTGAGCCGATGTACATGTGTTTGACTGACACGTGTCTGTAGCCTCATGTTAACTGTAGCGACGTGCTAACAGACACACACACACACAGAGACACACACACACACACACACAGAGACACACACACACAGAGACAGACAGGGGATGGGTTAGCTCGTGTTGGCTGTCAGTCATGAGCAAACTCCATTGTTTTACTCTGACGCGTCTTTGCCAATCAATGAAGTCACATGTCAGGAGCGCTCCAACCTACAGTGTGTTCAAACCAATATAGAATATAGAATTAGATCGGCTACAGCACTGTTCTTGCTTTAATCCCTGACAATTCCAGGCCATTTTTGTGAAACTGCTTTTGTTCTGACCTCTCTGACTGAAAGCCATTAGTGAAGCCTCAGTTGCATATACAAAAGTTAGAGTTTTTTTGTAAGATAACACCCAATAATTTTACCCGTCAACTCCTGAGTGCTTCTGGGTGCTTCTACATTGTATTTTCTGTTCACGTCCATCATGTTACCCACAATTATTAGACATTTTAAACTAACAAAAACTGCATTACCTTATATATATATATATATATATATATATATATATATATATATATATATATATATATATATATTATATTATATTATACTACGATTTTTGTAATGAAACCGTTAATGTTTGTGTGATTTTCAGGAGAAGACCCAGAGACACGGAGGATGAGGACGGTGAAGAACATCGCAGATCTGAGACAAAACCTGGAGGAGACCATGTCCAGCCTGAGAGGAACACAGATCACACACAGGTAACACTGCGCTCTACGTGTGATGGATGACTCAAAAAATCTGTAAAAAAAATCAGATCATCACATTGATATATTCCAATAAATATTTCAGATTTTTAGTTGGTCATCAAAGTTCTCATTTACTGTGTCGCTGCTCAGATGACGTCACAACTTTCTAGGCCAAAATTAATACTGTTATGATGCTTTTTGTTGTTTATTAGAGATTTTTAAGGTTCAGTAACAAGAAGAACAATGATAACATTTGTGAATTTTGGATATTTTGATGAGATTAAGTTAACACCATACGGTCAATAGGGAAAAATGGGGAAAAGAAGTGCTCTGTGTACTGTAAGTATCTAATTTAGGGCTGTCACAATAACGGCAAAAATGAATTACCGCGGTACTAAGACCTGCAATCACTGCATATGACCAACGTGACCCGACCCAGAGTCCTGCACAGGTCCATTTTTAGAGACCCGCACCCACCCGGACCCGAGAACATTCCACCTGTTACTGCCTGTGACTGTGATAACCCAGGACTAACCCAGGACTAAGGTGCGTCCGTGTAGACCATCAGGTGACCGCAGGTGAAAGGACCGCCGCAGCTCCACGCCGCACAGAGTTAAGTGCGGCCGTCGCCCGATTGCGCTTTGCGGACACCTGCTCCTCATGCTCGTGCTAGGGGCTCTCTCACCGCAGGTACCCGACCTGGCGCAGGACTCTGACCCGACCTGACCTGGAGCGGGACTCTGACCCGACCTGGCGCAGGACTCTGACCCGACCTGGACGCAGGACTCTGACCCGACCTGGAGGGACTCTGACCGACCTGGACAGCAGGACTCTGACTCTGACCCGACCTGAGCTCTGACCCGACGGACTCTGACCCGACCTGGAGCAGGACTCTGACCCGACCTGGAGCAGGACTCTGACCCGACCTGGACGCAGGACTCTGACCCGACCTGGCGCAGGACTCTGACCCGACCTGGACCTCTGACCCGACCTGGCGACTCTGGACAGGACTCTGACCCGACCTGGAGCCTCTGACCTGGAGGACTCTGAGGACTCTGACCCGAGCTGCCACAGTGAGAGCTGGAGAGAGCAGCGGCACTTTTTCCAAAGCCAAATGTTACTTTTCTTGCTACACATGCTATATCCACATGTGACAATCAAGGTACATGTGCATCTGAGAGAGTTTTCAGTGCTGATGGAAATATTATAAACTCCGGGGGATGTGGGGGTGGGGGAGAGGGTGCGATATCACCGCATACCGCGCTGCTGAGCTGCTACACCGCACCGCAGGAGAAATTCCCTAACCACGACAGCCCTAATCTAATTATGAAGCATTTTTGTGTCTGATAATCAGGAATTGCATTGTGAGCTTGCTAGTTAGCATTGCTCAGAATGCGTAAGGTAAGTGAGGAAAAACTTTGGAACACTGCAAAAAGCGTTTCTCATAAAGAAATTCTGTTTTTCATGTTTTTAAGACACAGTAAAATTCACATACAGCGTCTTTGAAGGTGCTTTGTGTAACTTTTAAAAACACAGTGGAGCACTTTCTGTATTACCACGTGACATCACGAGGTGGAACAGAGTGTCTGGGAGAAGAACTCAGCCTAAATGTTTAGGATTTGTGTGTTAAAAATGTGTGAATGAAACAAAACACAACTCCAAGTCTGTTTGTGATGAGGAAACAACATTATAACATAGATGAGAAAATAGTGTAATATGAACCATTTAAAGCTGCATTATGTAACTTCTAGAGGGTCCATCAAATGTTTTTCTTTATGGAGACCAAACCAGACCAAGTTACAGGTCAGATCTGTGGAGAGGCGACCCCGCGCACAGTCAGAATATTTTTCTAGGTATTTTTGAGCTTTAAAACCACCTGTAACTGAATAAAATTAAGGCAGAGCAATGTGACAGACTCTCCACCAGAAAAGCTCCACAGTGCGCCTTTAAGTTCTTTTTTATCTCTTTAGTCCACATGTCCGATCCTCTCCGTCCTCTCCGTCTCGCTTCACTTGTCAGAGTGAAACAGCGCTGAAGCTTTTCGTCTTGTCTTTTCTCTCGGCCTCTTCTCGTGTCATCTCCAAAACAAAAGACGCAAAAATGATTCATGCGTTGATAAAAACAGACTCTGGCCCACACAGCGTCCCATGGCTCAGCACTTTCTATTCCAAACCAAGACACTCGTCCTTCGCCGAACAAAAGCGTGCAGTACCGTGACTCACCAGCAGGACGCTTCATGATGATGATTCAGACATGTGGGTAAGACTGCATCTGTACAGGAGAAAATAATCTTGGCACGATACGAATATTTACACCATGATAATTAAAGTAAAAAAACATTAAATCATACTATTTTTATATTACTATGTGGCCTTACATCTGTGTAGTCCCTCAGTGGTCCAGGTAGGTTCCATATTTGATGTTTAGTCCTGGTTTAGTCCTGATTTAGTCCTTGGTTTAGTCCTGGTTTCATCCTGTTTTCGGATTTTGTCCTGGTTTAGTCCTGATTTTGTCTTGGTTTCATCCAGGTTTAGTCCTGATTTAGTTCTGGTTTAGTCACTTCTGTAGTACCTAATACTGGTTTAGTCCTGATTTAGGATTTTGTCCTGGTTTAGTCTTGATGTAGTTCTGGTTTAGTCACTTGTATAGTACTATCTTAATCCTGATTTAGTCTTTATTTTGTCCTTGTTTAGTCCTGGAATAATCCTTGTGTAGTACTGGTTTAGTCTTGGTTTAGTCCTAATTTAGTCCTGATGTAGTCCTGGTGTTGTCCTGGTTTTGTTCTGGTGTAGTCTGGTATAGTCCTGGTTTAGTCCTGACATAGTTCAGATTTTGCCCTGGTTTAGTCCTGGTTTTGTCCTGATTTAGTCCGTGTTTAGTCCTGGTTTAGTCCTGGAGCAGTCCTTGTGTAGTACTGGTTTAGTCTTGGTTTAGTCCTAATTTAGTCCTGATTTAGTCCTGGTGTTGTCCTGGTTTTGTTCTGGTATAGTCCTGGTTTAGTCTTGACGTAGTTCTGATTTAGTCCTGGTTTCATCCTGATTTAGGATTTAGTCCTGGTTTAGTCCTGATGTAGTTCTGGTTTAGTCACTTGTTTAGTATTAGCTTAATCCGTCTTTAATCCTGCTTTAGTCCTGGTTTAGTCCTGGTGTAGTCCTTGTGTAGTACTGATTTAGTTCTGATGTTGTCTTGATTTAGTCCTGGTTTAGTCTTGGCTTAGTCCTGGTTTAGTCCTGGAGTAGTCCTTGTATAGTACTGGTTTAGTCTTGGCTTAGTTGTAATTTTGTCCTGATTTAGTCCTGGTTTTGTTCTGATTTAGTCCTGGTTTTGTTCTGATTTAGTCCTGGTTTAGTCCTGGAGTAGTCCTAGAGTAGTCCTTGTGTAGTACTGGTTTAGTCCTCATGCATTACTAGTTTACTCATGGATTACTCTTGGTTTAGTCCTGATTTACTTCTGATTTAGTCCTCATTTTGTCCTGGTTTAGTCCTTGTTTAGTCCAAACCTACCACACGCTGCGTTTAATTCGGGAGACGACGTTCCGTAGCTCGTCTTGGACACTGACGATGTTCTGGTGGTTGGTTGATTTGTCGCCGTGACACCGGGCTTCGTGTTTCCCGGATTTAATTAAACGGCTTCACCTCCATCAGGACAAGAATAATGAGACGCGCAGGAAGACGGACACTTCCCACCTTCTACCGCCCCCTCTGGTATAAAGAGGTTAATACAGGGCAGTTACTCCTGTGGTTACGAGAAATGAAACCTGAAAATGAAACCGTTTATAATTGATTTTGTACTGATAAGAATCTCTCATTTATAATTTGACACTGTAGGAAAATAATGTTAAGAAGGTTGGTTAGATAGTCGGGACGAAGAGACGCAAGTTCTCACGTAGCTCTGGTTAATTTCTGTCTCTTGATATTTTGCAGTGGTGATGTTCGTTAATGTACGTTAATGCTTTTCTATGGTAAAATGTCTGGTGGAAATGTCTCGGGTATTTTCCACCAGCTTCATAAATCTGCCCCATCACCAAATCTTCATCCAACAAGGTCGACAAAGGATAAACATTCTCCCATGATGAATTTATCCACAACCATCAAGGGAAGAAAGACGAAAACGTAAAGGCGAACAACGACGACGCGTTAGTCACACACTGAGCAAACTACTATGGTCATGAATAAAACAGAAGTAACTTGTGAACTCAGACTGATTCTAGAATTAAAATTAAAAATCGATTTCAAGATGTAGATATTTGTGCAGTTTAAATGTGAGACATGTAATCTGTGAACATCTCTAGCATTCGAACTGCACAAATCTCTGTCTATGTTAATATCTACATCAGGCATGTCCAAACTACGGCCCATGGGCCAAATGCGGCCCTCAGACACATTTTTCTTGGCCCTCAGGCTTCCAGGTGAATTGGCCCAAATTACCTTATATCATTTAAAAATTTACTTCTTACTGCAAACTTCTGGAAAATCTACCTTGATAAAGTGAATATTTAATATTTAGTGTGTGGTTTTAATTAAGCATCTTAGCATGAGCCATCAGTATTTATTCATTCTATTTGTGTTAAACATGCACATATTTCAATTATTCACTGTATTGAGCACCAGTCTACGGTCAACCAGCAGTACGTCTTATAAGGGAAATATTTGTTTCTCAACAAACCTGTACCTTGATAGTTGTGGATAAATTGTTCATGTTATAATGTTTATCCTTTGTGGACCTTTTTGGTTGAAGATTTGGTGATGGGATTTATGAGGCTGTTGGAAAATACGTGAGACATTTCCACAGATATTTCATCATAGGAAACCATTAACCACAAGTTCCTCAAACCTACAGCGGGGCACTTCCAGCCGTTGTGAAAATGGTCTGTTACTATGGTGACACAATTCACGCTTTGGCAAATGCAGACATAAAAGTTTTAAGTAGATTTAAACAACATATTTCCTTTTTAGGCATTTGATTTTGAACAAAAATGTGAGAGGCTACGTTCAGACTGCAGGGTTTAATGCTCAATTCCGATTTTTTTGTGAAATCCGATGTTTTTGCGAGGTCGTTCACATTTCCAATTAAATGCGACTTGTCTGTGACTCCAGTGTGAAAATTAAACAGGCCCAAAAGTGTCCCGCATGTGCACTGGAGACACGACGACGTCAACCGTGCGAGCGTGCTCTGTGTTTACAGAAGTTGTCCAAACATGGACGCAGCATCGAGCACCTGGAGATTTTAAAGTTCCTCTCGTACCGGAGCCAGAACAGGAACAACTTAACTGTTTTAAGGAGGAGATTGAGAAGGAGAAGGACAAGGTTTTTGGCCGTGGTGTTTTGTGGGTCAGTCCGTTGAAGTGAACGTGTGGATGTGGAGACGGAGCCAAGAGTGGTGAGTGGTGATGTGCTTCACTTCAGTGACACGGAGTTCATTAACAATTTTCGCCTATTTCAGCGCAGAATAGTGACGTTTGTGGTTTGTTGATAACGTGTAGGTGGATGAATGCACTTTGGCCGTTCAGACTGAAGTCACATGTCAAAAGATCAGATATGTTTCAGTTTCAGGAGCACATATCCAAGTGTCCTGGGTCACATTTGAAAAAATCGGATCTGTGTTGTTCAGACTGACATTAAAAGATCGGATACCGGTCACATAGAAGCCAAAAAATCGGATTTGGGTCACTTCAGGCTGCAGTCTGAACGCAGCCTAAGTGAAAAACTGGCTGAATACTGTAGCTTAGGGCTGGATATCATTAAGAAGTTACCGATAGGATACATACCTCAATACATAGACCACGATACGATACATATCTCGATACAGTGCGCTTTCGATTCGATAACATATAGTTAAAAATGATTCGATATGGTTCAATAAAAAGTAAAGGTTAAATCATGGCTGTGATACTAAAAGTCTTTGTTAAACCACTTCTTGTGCAAAGTTCATATGAAAAACGCCCATTTTAATCATCAAAACAGTGAAAATGTCACATGTGTTGTTGTTGTGAGTTTCCTTTCTCTACACAAGCCACAAAACTGTAGCGTTGTAATAAAATAATTTTGTAAAATACACCTCTTGGCGATATATTTATACATCAGCTCCCGATCATCACATTGAACGATACGATATATCAATATTTCGATATTTTTGCACACCCCTAGTAGCTTGTGATTTAAATTTTATTTGTTTACTAAAACATCTTTTTCTGGTCGGATTGTGTGAAAATAAAACTCAGATTAAGTCTAATTTGAGCTTCAAACAGAGTAGTGCTTTCAGTCAGCTTCACACTCCCAGGAAATGTTCATCAATAAACATTCTAACTGGTGACCAATTTGTGTTTTAAAGTTTATTCTGCTAACATGTTACTACCCCAAAATATTAATATAATCCTAACTCTAACCTTAACCATTTCCCTCACTTTAACATAATCTTGCTGTTACGTAAAACAGCCACAAGGAGGCGTCTTTGAGCTCCAGGGAGGGAGACAGACTAAATATAGACTACTAAAACAAAGCGTGGTATCAGTTCAGTCACTGTGCAGTATCAGTTGAGTTTGCCCTCGTCCCCGGACACTGCAGTGTTTTCTCCGTGTGTGTTTTGCCCCCGTTTTGCCCGCAGTAGACGGTGGCTCTGCTCAGGACAGGGCTGGCAGACGGTGGAGTGGGTGAGACGCTCGGGTGCGCTTGTTTCGCTCTCCTCCGTCTCCGTCCTCAGACCTGCAGGACGCCTGATCGATACTCCGATTGTTTTAGCAGCGCATTTAATCAGAGAAGAAGACCAAGAGCTGGAGCTGTGCTGATGAGAAACAGGCGCAGGGACAAAATCACTGGGAGAATCTCATAAAAAAATATATTATTGACACTTTGCAGTGACATTACAATGCTGAGGGGAGGTTCAGCATGTTTGTTTATGATGCAGTGTTCGACAGTTACCATGGTGACAATGAAAACATAAATACTGTATTTTTCGGAATATAAGTCGCACCAGCCAAAAATGTGCAATTAAGAAGAGAAAAACATATATAAGAAACAGCCCATTCTGCTATTAATATTACGCAAAATTGACTCTTGTGACCTTTAATACATGCTATAATGTTATCACATCAAAAACATATCTGGAGGTGTGTTTTGCTTCATTCACATGTTTGAGTAATCCTGTATTATTAGTCTGTCTGCAGCTCAACTCAAAATGCTCTGTTCCACTTCGTGATGTCATGAAGCTGAAGTTTTCAAGTCAACAGCTCCTTTTACATTTTGTTCAGGACAGACTGGCAATTCCAGGTCTGATTCTAGAGAAGGTGTAATGAGTTTAAAAACAAATATGTGCAATGCTTGTGTGTTTAACATGTGACTGAAATAAAACACAACTCCAGATCTGTTTTTGATCAGAAATCAACATTATAACATGCGTCAGAGAGCCCTTTAAATAAGTAAAAGTTATTCTGATTGAGTTTTGTTCAGTCTTCCTCATTCTTCTTATAAACACACGAGATCAGGGAGAGCACCTGTTGTTTTGGCTGAGAGCTGAGCTGGAGGAGATCCACACTGACAGCAGGAGACGAGCTGCACAGCCAGAGATATTAATAAACTATTGTCCCAGTCTTTGTCTTTACAAGTTGAACATGCAAAATAAATGCACTGAATAGGATTAAAGTAACATAAGATTTATTTGTATAGCAGATAATCATATAACAAAATAAAGCACATAGGCATTTTTTTCATTACAGAGATCACTGTTTAACTTTACAGTAGATTACAGGTTTTAATATTAGTCTTGTCATGATCAAACATTTAGATGATGATAAACTGCAGAAGAAAATATAGAAGATAAATCCTAAAGCAGGATTTCACCAAACAAGGGCAGGAAAGGATGTGGAACTGTAACTGCTGGCCTGGATTAGCTACATTTGCCTGGAGCCAAACGCTGTGAACAGTCTATGGTAATAACTCAACACATGTTCGTAAAATCCCTCATTTGTTGTTAGGTTTATCTAAACATTGTAAACAAGAAGAAAGACAAGAGATTAATTCAGTTTTACTCGCGAGGAGAACGGGCAGAGAGTGGGCATCAAAACCAACAGTCTCCACACGTTCTGATGACTCAAGGCCGTTCTCCTCTTTTTATTTCATTAGGAGGCCCTAGTTACAGAACGATAATTCTCAAGGGGAAGGGGAAACAGCAAAGACATAATAAGAAACTGGTGCAGCTATGCATAGTATAAACACATAAAACATGATTAACAATCAGGAGGTGCCTTAGGTTTGGTCAGACACCATCATAACTCTTGCATGTGTGACAGTGGGAGTTGGCTTCATGTGAGGAATCATCTCGAGTTTCACTAGAGCGATAGGACACTGCACACAGTTGTCAAACACACAGAGGTTATTCAACAAGTGACAAGTGATTGGTACATTATAAATCAAAGAATTGTAGTACATAAATGGTTAACTCATAGGCATAGAATATCACACAAGTATTTAGCAAATATGGGATAATAAAATTATTCTGACATTTGTCCAGGTAAGATCCATAGCAAAGAAAAAAAAAACTCAACACAAATACAAGCATATAGACACTACACTAACATTCTTCCTCTTTCTTTATTATTCTTATAATACAATTATAATACATTTCTGTTTTTTGTTGTAATTATGTCTATAAATGCTTCAGTTTTTTTTTTTTTAAAGTTCTCACAAGGGTTCTCCAGTTATTATTGAGTTCATTGATTGACTTGTTTTCATTTGTTGTTGATCTTAAATTGATAAAACTTTGAAAAGGAATGACCCTGACTTTGAAATTTATCTATTCAAACTCCTTATTATTAATGGCTGAAAACAAATTATTGCAGTTTAAAATATAGTTATTTACAATTTAAAAAAAAAAACCCAAAAAACTGGAAGCAGACTGGTTCAGTGTATGCAAGCAAAGTGCTTCTTTACAGAATTCAATAAACAACATGGATGAGATATAAGACACAACGGATTCCAGGCACTCCAAAACAGTAGAAAAAGTTAACACATTGCACGAGGAAAAATATAAGTAAAAGGCCTTTATTTGAATGGCCAAAGCCAACATGTTTCTGATGAAGACCAGTTAAGGTCGAAACATGTTGGCTTTGGCCATTCAAATAAAGCATTTAATTATATTTTTCGTGCGATGTGTTAACTTTTTCTACTGTTTTTCAGTGCCTGGAATCCGTTGTGTCTTAGTCTTGATCCTTTTTTCCAAGAGCACCCTCTATTTGCTCCTACCGATTGGAACACCTGCAGCAAACAGCCACATTTTTGTTCTTTCTGCATGGATGAGATATAATTGAAATTACAAACAGTCAACCAAACGCTTCTCTAAACTACTGCTGCTTAAAGAGCTACTTTTTAAAATCAGAAAATATATTCATTTATTTGGTTATTTTTATTGATTTATCACAAATGAACATGGTTAAAATTGTATGAATCCGATTCATGTAAACATTCACTTATTTTGTGACCAAAGCCCTGAGAATGTTTTTACACATTTAGACCATAAGTACTCAGCTCCACCCTTGCTTTCATCTTCGATTTTATATTTCATTCTCTCCAGTTTTTTGACTTTCTCTTCATCTCCCTGCTCCTTCATCTTCTCAATCAGAAAAGGCAGGAGGATGTAGGTGGACACTGAGTGCACGTTTAGAGCGATTTTCTCCAGCTTCTCTATGACCTCAAACACCTCATCCAGACACTGATTTTTGGATTGTTTAAGTGTTTGCATTTCCTCCTGCAGACTCTTCAACAGGGCTTCTTTGTCATCAACCTCAATGGTGTCTTCCACTTGTCTGGTCTTGGTCACATATCTCCAGTTCTCATGTACATGATCCTTCACAGGGCATTTTCCAGAGCAGACAGTACATTTGCCTTCTACCATGATGGGACAGGAGGGTAAACCCCAAAAACAGTTATTATGGCAATTTTCTTGGCAGTTGTTACAAGTGATATTATTAAACCATGGGAACCACCACCATCCATTCTGTTCTTTATCTTTGTAGGTCTCTTCTTTATACATTTTGCCAGATGACTTAAGGGTTTTCAAACTTTCACTGTTCTTTTTATTGCTTCTTCTTTCTTTTCCATATCTTCAACACGATCTTTAAGGTTTTCGATGCAGGCCACCAATCTTTTCCTTTCATTCAATACCTCTGCTGTTTTCTTCAGTGACTGAGGTTGTTTTTCTCCCAGAAATTGTGTAAATTCTGAGATGCCCTCTTCAGTTAGTTCAAATACATTTTTTGCTATCTTTTCTGCATGTTTCCCTTTTCCAATCTTCTCATTTTGTCGGTTGTTAAACAGGAAATAGACTGGCTCATCGTTTTCATCTGTAGCATATTTTATATTAGCGTCTTCCAGTGCTTTTAGGGCATTTTTTGGTTCCATTCCATCTGAGTGTGTTATCATTGCCACAATATTTTCCTTCATGTCTTTACCAAAGATTGAAGTGATTGAGTTGAAGACGTATCCCATTCTCTCATCAAGTCTGTTCTCTGAGGCCTTCACCACCAAACCCACTGCATTTAATGCTTTTACTCCATCCACTTCATCAGGAGCACTGAAGAGTTCCAAGAGTTTCATTGTGGTAATTTCATCATATTCTATTCCTCTGGTGTCTCCATACCCTGGAGTGTCGATGATGGTCAGAGAATAAGGGACACTTTCCCCCTCAAATCCAAAGATTTCATAAACAGACACTTCTGAGGTCTGACTCTCAGACTGAGATTTGTCTCTGTCACCGGTGATGATTTCAAACCAAACTTTGTCTTCAAACTTGACGCCCATCACATAGTTGACCAGGGCGTTGATCAGAGTGATTTTCCTGTCCCTGTCGCTCCCACCAGGAGGACGGATTTGTTTGGGAATTTAGGATCACGTTTTCCAAGAGTGAATTTCCTCAGTTTTGATTCTTCATCTGACTGCCTGTCCAGGTTCACTCTGTCTAGTTTCAGCTTGTAACGAGCAGGAGGACCATCAGATAACTTGATGCTTTCTGTCATATATCTTAAGAATCTTTTCTCCATATTGTCCCTATATGATTTTTGTCAATAGCATCAACAAAAAAACATGTTTTTAAGTGACCAAATATATTGAACTTTTTCATGATATGTATAAATCTATTCACCCACCTTCTGTTTGCTGTGTCTGCTGTTTGGGAAAGACAGGATATGATTCTTCCTGTGGTTGAAAAAAGGAAGAGAAGAAATCAGTACTGCTGAGACAATGAGATAATCTGCCTCTCCTGATATTGGGGAGGTGTGACTTGAGCAACAATTCTCAAACAAATATTTGTGATGCTTTGCCATTCTGTAAAGGGGTCCCAACTTCAAAACCTCAAATGTTAAGAATCAAACAGCTCCCGCCGCAGACTGTATACCCCTGTTCCTCTTTAGGAGCATTTCATTCTCACACATTTCTTTTCTCCTTGCTCTTCCATTATAAATATGCATAGAGAGTGAGCTCATGTTGTGTGCTGTCCTCATGTTTTTTGGTTCTGACATTACGTTTAGTTCATGTGCAGCTTACATGAAAACATGTGTGGTGTTTCTGTGTGTGTCTCCATACAAGTGTGAGACTGTGAGAGAGCTTTCATTGCTCAGTATCAAATATTGCATCTCTTCCACTAGGATCATGCAGCAAAATAAAAACATGCCATTATGACATGGTTAAATCTCAAAAAATGTTGAATGTACATGTTAAGGGGCGGCAGTAGCTCAGTTGGTAGAGCATTCGCCCACTGATCTAAAGGTTGGCGGTTTGAATCCAGCTCTCGACATAAACATCACAGGTTGAGTGGTCAGATCCACTGACCCACAGTTTGGCTGATGTGATTCCAGTTCCCACAGATGAATGCTGCCATTGTGTCCTTGGGCAAGACACTTAACCCACCTTGCCCACAGTGTCTGTGTACACTGGTGTGTGAATGTGTGTGTGAATGGGTGAGTGGTTCCCTGTTGTAAAGCGCTTTGAGTGTCTTGAAGGTGGAAAAGCGCTATAGAAAAATGTGACCATTAAGCACATAGATGGAGCATGAGGAAGTATTCCTATTTTGTTTAATAAATTGGAGTCATAAACTAAATTAATTTGGTTTCTCTTCTGCTTTCACTCCATAACTGAGCCCAAAGTGATTGACAGGCTGAAGTGTAGAAAAACTATTTACTGTATAGTTACTACATATATACAGTGAGCAGAGTTTTACTTGATCTTGAATGAAAGTGTTCTAGTTTATCTACTGTATACTTTATCCATTATGAGAAATAATTAAATGAATCACAATAAGTATTACTATTTTGTAAAAGAGAGAAACCCAAATGATCTTGATTAAATTATAAAGACAAATTAACTTAAAATAATCCTTACCTTTTCGTCAGATCAGTCAGCGTCTGTCTGAGTGAGAGTTGAAGCACAGCTCTTTATATAGCCTCCTCCTGAAATCAAAAAGAAAGTAAAACTACCAAGTCACAAGTTATCTAATCTTTATTTGCATTGTGGCTGTTTTTAACTTTCAATTTGAGTTGATCAAGTTAATGATTAAAATTTAATTGAACAGATGTATATATTTACGAAGACCCTATAGAGGAGTAACGATGCAGTGTGGCTCTGTGGTGTGCGTCTCTATTAAGGCTACCACGGAACTGAACAAAACAACACCAGTTCGTTGGTTAGTTTGTTAGTTTATTTTAACGTAATCATTAATCATATTGTAATGATTTAACACAGAAATTATGCATATCACTAAAGTTATTCTACAGACCGAAGGGGTTTAGGCTGAAGTTTTAACACTTATTTTGCATAACCCTATTAACATACAGAACAGGATACAAGGTGGCAGACTTATTTACAGAAATCAACACAAAATTCATCTTTTATGAGTACAGGAAAGAACAGGTACTTAATTCTTTTGGTATACACACATACACAATACAGACACACAATCCAATACACGTCGATGTTCATACATGCACACACACTAATCCATGTACATGTTAGTATTCATACCTATTAGTATATAAATACACAGACACGTATAATTGATGGTTATAGCTCATCTGAAAGTTCCATAAGATAAGATATATGACAGTTCTTATCTGTTGACTCTTTTTTATACTTATGCTATTAATACATATTATTCAAGAATTATTTAAATGAAAGGTAAATCAAAATTATGGTAGAAAAACTCAGATTAAGTCTAATTTGAGTGACAGAGCTTCAAACAGAGTAGTGCTTTCAGTTGGCTTCACACCCACATGAAATGTTAAAGACATCAGATGTAATCATCAATAAACAGGCTAATTGGTGACAAAAGTTTCTTCTGATAACATGTTTACTATCCCAAAATATTTTCCTAACTCTAACCTTAACCATTTTCCTCACTTTAACATAATCCTTTTATTACATAAAACATCCACAAAGAGGCAGACCAAATATAGACTACAAAAACAAAACACAACTCCAGATGTGTTTTTTGAGGAAACATCATTACAATATGGCTAAAAAAGTCAAAAAGGTCAAGTTTGCCGACCCTTTATGTTTGTTAATGTTCTTGTTGAAAACTAATTATTGCAGTTTAAAACATAGTTATTTACAATCATTTGGCAGTTTTTAAACTGGAAATGTTATTGTATGCTAAAGTGCTTTACAAAATGCATTAAACAACATGGATGAGACATAAAAGAGATTACAAACAGCTAACCAAAAGTTTGTCTAAACTACTGTTGCTTAAAGAGATGCTTTTTAAGAGGAAGAGTCCCCCTGTATTTTAAAGTGAGTCTTTGGGACCATCATGTTACAAGGTTTTCAAATCATCATCAAATGTAGTGAATATTTTTTGTTTTTATTTATTTATTACAGAATAGCACAGCTAAAATGGTTTGAATCCAATTCATGTAAACATTCATTTTTTTCTTTACTAGGGTCCTGCCATTTTTTTTCATATTTAGACCATAAGTACTCAGCTCCACCCTTGCTTACATCCTCGATTTTAAATTTCATTCTCTCCAGTTTTTGAACTTTCTCTTCATCTCCCTGCTCCTTCATCTTCTCAATCAGAAAACGCAGGGGGATATAGGTGGACACTGAGTGCACGTTTAGAGCAATTTTCTCCAGCTTCTCTATGACCTCAAACACATCATCCAAACACTGATTTTTGGATTGTTTAAGTTTTTGCATTTCCTCCTGCAGACTCTTCAACAGGGCTTCTTTTTCACCAAACTTAATGTTGTCTTTCACTTCTCTGGTCTTGGTCACATATCTCCACTTCTCATGTACATGACTCTCCACAGGACATTTTCCAGAGGAGACAGTACATTTGCCTTCTACCATGATGGCACAGGACTGCAGACCCCAATAACAGTAATTATGACAATTGTGTTGGCAGTTGTTACAAGTGATAGTATTTCTAAACCACAGGAACCACCATCCTCTCTGTTCTTTATCTTTGTAGGTCTTCAATTCTTCACTGTTCTTTTTTATTGCTTCTTCTTTCTTTTCCATATCTTCGACACATTCTTTAAAGTTTTCGATGCAGGCCACCAATCTTTTCCTTTCATTCAATACCTCTGCTGTTTTCTCCAGTGACTGAGGTTGTTTTTCTCCCAGAAATTGTGTAAATTCTGAGATGCCCTCTTCAGTTAGTTCAAAAACATATTTTGCTGTCTTTTCTGCATGTTTCCCTTTTCCAATCTTCTCATTTTGTCGGTTGTTAAACAGGAAATAGACTGGCTCATCGTTTTCATCTGTAGCATATTTTATATTAGCGTCTTTCAGTGCTTTTAGGGCATTTTTTGGTTCCATTCCATCTGAGTGTGTTATCATTGCCACAATATTTTCCTTCATGTCTTTACCAAAGATTGAAGTGATTGAGTTGAAGACGTATCCCATTCTGTCATCAAGTCTGTTCTCTGAGGCCTTCACCACCAAACCCACTGCATCTAATGTTTTTACTCCATCCACTTCATCAGGAGCACTGAAGAGTTCCAAGAGTTTCATTGTGGTAATTTCATCATATTCTACTCCTCTGGTGTCTCCATACCCCGGAGTGTCGATGATGGTCAGAGAATAAGGGACAGCTTCCCTCTCAAATCCAAAGATTTCATAAACAGACACTTCTGAGGTCTGAGTCTCAGACTGAGATTTGCCTTTGTCACCGGTGATGATTTCAAACCAAACTTTGTCTTCAAACTTGACGCCCATCACATAGTTGACCAGGGTGTTGATCAGAGAGGATTTTCCTGTCCCTGTCGCTCCCACCAGGAGGACGGATTTGTTTGGGAATTTAGGATCACGTTTTCCAAGAGTGAATTTCCTCAGTTTTGATTCTTCATCTGACTGCCTGTCCAGGTCTATTCTCTCTAGTTTCAGCTTGTAATAAGCAGGAGGACCATCAGATAATTTGATGCTTTCTTTCATATATTTTGAGAATCTGTTCACCATATTGTCCCTATATTCAAAAAATATTTACGTTTTATCAACTCCATCAACAAAAAACATGTTTTTATGTATAAATATATAAACCTAGTCACCCACCTTCTGTTTGCTGTGTCCAGGATTTTGGAAGGACAGGATATGTTAGGTTCTTGATATGAGAGGTTCTTCCTGTGGGTGAAAAAAGAAAGAGAAGAAATCAGTATTGTTAATATTATTACAGTCAAAGAGGGGATAATCTGCCTCTCCTGATATTGGGGAGGTGTGACTTGAGCAAGAATTTGCACAAAATATTTGTTATGCTTTGCAATTCTTAAAAACCTCAAATGTTAAGAATCAAACAGCTCGTGCCGCAGACTGTGCCCCCCTGTTCCTCTTTAGGGGGATTTCATTCTCACATAATTCTTTTTTCCTCTTGCTCTTACATTACATTTATATTAGCATATGTAAAGCTAGTGAGCTCATTTTGTCTGCTGTCCTCATGTTTGTTTGGTTCTGACTGGAGATTGAGAGGCTGAAGTACATAAAAACTATTTACTGTATAGTTACTGCATAGAATATATACAGTGAGCAGAGTTTTACTTGATCCATGATAAGAAATAATTTAATTAAAACCAGTAAGTATTACTATATTATAAAAGAAGGAAACATAGATTCTCTTGATTCCATTATAAAGAGAAGTTTACTTGTATTAAAATGATCCTTACCTTTTCGTCAGATCAGTCAGCGTCTGTCTGAGTGAGAGTTGAAGCACAGCTCTTTATATAGCCTCCTCCTGAAATCAAAAAAGAAAGTAAAACTACCAAGTCACAAGTTATCTAATCTTTTTGTGTTGTGGCTGATTTGAACTTTTTATTTGAGTTGAGGAATAACAAGTAAATCATTTACATTTATACTTTCAACATTCTGACCTGACCATCCAGGATTCTAGTATTTCATTCAGTAAATTTACACTTACCATCCACCCGCCCGCCGGCGGGCGATTTTCCAATAAAAAATGTTCACTCTGTATATTCACCTTCATTATTGTTTTCACTACTGGCATGCCATACATCGTTTGAAAGCTTAATTTGTCAATAAAACAACCATATCATTCATTTTATGCCGTACAACGAGCCCGAATTTATGTGAATTTAAAAATTCACATCATAAACAAAGAATAAGATACGCGTTTCTTACCTTTGAGCCGGTTCTGTCGGTCCAAAACGCGTTCAATCCATGAAAAGTTGTACTCAATAAATCCGTAATAATCCACAGAAAAAGAATATCAAGTTGTTTTTCCAAAAAATAATTCCATGTGGGGAAATAATCCAGAAAATCGTCGTCCGTATGAGTGGATGAATCCGTGAATGAAAATATTATGTCTCTTTCTCCGCCTCTTCTCCCGCTCTCACTTCCCTTTCTCTCCCGCTCTTGGGTACGCTTGTTTTCCTCACACTCTTAGCTTCAAAATGAGACCCTCCCCGCTGTTGTCGGTGGCGGGGTTTAGGTGGGACAAGCCGCTGAAGAAGCTAACGCACTCACGTACTTCCTGGCTTTACGCACGCGTCATCAGTTTGTTTACGGGAAATCTCTTCAGTCATTGGATCTTCCAGAAAGTGATTGACATATTGTTTTAGCCTATCACCAGAGCTTTCAAACGGTGGGTGGGACATCCAGATTGTATTGGAAACGGACCCTGTGTTTATACGCGTAAGGAGAGAGGGAGACAGGGAGCAGTGCGAGCGGTGCTATAGAAGGCAGATCTTCCACTTGGAGGACAATTTTGGCTACTTTTAGTTTTTTTTCTTGAAAACATGCCTAAAGCTCAGAAAGAATTAGTATTATAATAATAACAATTATTATTATTTTTATATTATTATTATTATTTTGGCACAAATTTGGCAATCTTGTGCCGAATTGTCATTTTGTTTTACACAAAGGCTCACAGCATCAAAACCCTTTGTCCTAGAGATCTAAAATTCTACACAGTTGTTGCCAACAACTTGAACAATGAGTGTAGTGAGTCACAAATGCCTAGCATGAAGTATGCCCAAGCTAAGGCCTTTATTTATTTATTTTTTTTTTTCGAAGCAAAAAAATATTTTTTTTTTTCAATTTTAATTGACTGTACTGTAGGTATCACAGTGTACATATCTACAGAAACTAGAAGGTCTAAGCTTTAAAATGGTGCCTCACACAAGCATGTGGGTTCTAAGGTTTTCTTTTAATAAGCTATGGCATTTGGGTATGTCTTACCATTGTGCACACACCAAAATGAGGCGGTGGGTAACAGGTTAACAGATTTATCATACCAAAGACCCATAATATGACCATAAATATTGTGTAAGAGCTACAATGAGTAATTAAGTTCTCAGTTTGAGATTATAAAATTTGGTTTTAATTATTTTAATTTTAATTACAAATAAACAAACAACACAGTTAAAATACAATATCATATAAAACCAAGATGTCACTTTCTCTAAGGCTGCACTCACACTAGGACTTTAGAACCGTGCCCAAGCTCGGATTGCCCCTAAAGCGCGGTACGTTTGTCTAGTGTGAACGCAATCGAACCATGCAGCACGGATGGGATGTTGGTCTGATTGGAGGAGGTGGCCCAAAGCACGGCACGGTTGCTCATGTACGCACTCACGCGCACAACTTTTCTATACGAGCCCTGTCAGGTGCGCTGATGTTACTCATACAAGGAAAACAGTGAATAAACTCTGCTCCAAACACACGGCAAACCCACTCTCACCTTCAATAAGGACAGACAGAAGTTTAGCTGCATCCCGTCTCCGGCTGTCATCGCTTCACTGCGCTGCACTGTTTTTATATCCATAAACTCATGGAGGAGTGCGTATCATAAGAGGACGCACATCAGCCTCACTTTTTAATAGATATTTCACATCAAATGACAATGAGAAAAGGTGTGTTTTTTAGGAGAGGAGAGGAGGTGCATTGTGTAACTTTTCTGGTGGAGTGTCCATCAAACGCTTTTCTCCGTGGAGATGTTATTGCTTTGTCTGGAATGTTTCACAGTATGGTATCAAACCTTTTTATCTTCATGGAGACCAAACCAGACCAAGTTACAAGTCAGATCTGTGGAGAGGCGACCCCGCTCACAGTCAGGATGCCTGTTTTTCTACGTATTTTTGAGATACAAAACCACTTGTAGATGTGTGATGATTTTCAATTTGGCACACTTTGTTATTTTGATACTTGCGTGTCAGAATGGAAGTAATATTATCTTGTTTATATAATCAACAGTTCAAAGGTTGACTATAAAACCACATCTTATTCCAGAGTGATACAGTTTATACCCAGTGCAATAAACTTAGGTAAGATGTTAGTAATATATTAATGTGTCATGATTGATTGATTGCTTTTATATAGCACCTTTCAAGATACCCAAAGAGCTGTACAGTTCATTATTCAGTCACTCCACACTCAGTGGTGGTAAATTACTACTGTAGCCACAGCTGCCCTGGGGCAGGCTGACGGAAGCGAGGCCAATCTGCGCCATCAGCCCCTCCGACCACCACCATCACTCATGCTCACAGCTCTTTCATACTAGGCAATGTGGGGGAAGTGTCTTGCCTAAGGACACAATGACAGTTTTTTGCCACTGGCATCCCACTGTGGCACCTGGAATTCCTAATGGTCTCCCATCCAAGTACTGCCCAGGGCCAGCCTGCTTAGCTTCTGAGATCTGACGGGATCAGATTTACAAGCTGGTATGGCCACCAGTCCATGAGTTATTTCTGAAGAACCTTTATAGAATTCCTGACCGTGCTGTTTTGCAAAACAATGAAAACTTTCTAGATGAATATTGTGATTTATCCACAGGTCCACAGGTGTTGTAGACTATAGCTATATTGCAGACACAAGACAAAATGTCTTCTTTAAAATAATACGTTTCCTCTCTCTCCAACAGCACCCTGGAGACGACCTTTGACTCCACGGTAACCACAGAGGTGAACGGGCGCTCCCAGCTGCCCCTCTCCTCCAGGGCCTCCCCCATGTCGTGGCGTCTGGGACAGTCCCAAACCCCCAGACTGCAGGCCGGGGACGCGCCCTCTATGCCCAGTGGGTACGCTGTGCCCCGAGGCAGCTCCGCCACCACTGCAGCCACCGGGGGGCGCTACAGCGGCCACGCCGACTCATCCAGGTGAGAACAGCTCATTGATCAGTCCTCATTTACTTGTCTTGTCATTTTGATGGCTATATTTTTGCCATGTCTATGTCATAAATAACTGCTTGAAAAAATAAGGTTAAAGGTGCACTGCGCAATATTTCTAGTGGAGGGTTCGCTGCCAACTTGTCTCCATGGAAATGTTATTGCTTTGCCTGGAATGTTCCATGGTATGACTTTAAACACATCTATCTAGTATTTATTTATTAAGGGTGTTTCTATTGCTCAAAGTGCAATAACTCTCTGTGAATAGGGTTGCATCTCCACAGATCAGACCTGTAATGCAGCATATAGTTTGTCTCCGTTGAGATAGATACTGTAGGTTTAATCTCCACTGTGGAACATCTCCATGTTTGGTTGATAGTTGATTATAAAGTTAAGTACAGGTGACACTGATAAGATTTTGGTACAGTTGGGGTATAAAATATTGAATTGCCCTTCGTGTAAGACTTCAGTTGTACAATAAATGTATGACCCTGTTTTATATCTGTTTATTCTTTTTACTGATATCGAGGGTTTTATTTATTTATTTTTATTTATTCAGACAGTAATACATAGAACATAAATTTAAAAAATAACTAAATAATAATTTAAAAAAAAACGTAAATACATAGATATAACACAAAAAGTAACTATTTCTATTCTATAATAACAGGGAAAATAAATGTCACACAGAATTTTCCTTATGTCCGAAAAAGGAGTGGGAGGAAGTAAATACTTAAACTTGGTCAACTTGAAACTGAAAGCATTTTATTTATTCCACAGTTAGACTGATTCATTTACAGGGTCATCTGGGGCCAAGAAGACTTCCCTGAAAATTAATCTCAGTGGGTTTTCCTTAAATACGTACATACATTTGACTTGGAGATACAAAAAAGGAGTTATTACAACTAGGACATAACTCACACTTAACCATTTAAAACATTTAATTTGATTCACTGAAGCTGGGAAAGCTGTATTGCTAAGTGAACACTCAAGTGACAACCTGATGTTAAATGAGAGATTACTGAACCAAAAGTGTTTTTTTTTTTGTGTGTGTGTGTATTTGCAGTTATTTCTTCTTTTGAAAATTCCTCTTGACAATAGACAGATTTTAGAAAGTACAGTTATACAGTGGAATAAACACTGCTTTAAGTCTGTCAGTATCACTATATGGAGATTTGATATACAAACTACTGTGGGCCTTGTAAATTATTTTGATTTAGATAAATTATGTTCAGGATTATTCACAGATGCATCTTTATCACCTTTAAATTCACAGGGAAATACTGACTGTGTCCCAATGTCCACTTTATACCCTACTTAGTAACACCTCCATGAAGACAAGCAGATGACGGACCCTCCACCAGAAAAGTTAAAGATTAAAACTATAGAATATCCACATGGCTGCTCACATGCACCAAGGCTACACTATCTTTCCTCTGCTTCAACCACACACACACACACACACACACACACAGTACATTCACTTTCACACAGACCTTGAGCTACAGTCACAGATAACAAAGAACAAAAGACATGCTTTCAGTTTCATATCACAGACGTGCGTAAGCCATGGCCCCTCACTCACTCAACAGGAAAACAACCTTGAACAAAAGGTACCTCTGGGAAAGAAAAAATCTATATATGTGTGGCTCTACTGCCTCTAAAACATGTCTCTAAAATGCACAATGTCTTTAAGTTATCAGTATTACAGTACACCCGAGACGTGCCGTTGTGTAAATGCAGGTTCCACCCTCCTAACCAGACCTAGTAAAGAGAGGTACTGTGGTGTCAGGTGATCAGTCTTTGTTATGTGTGTGGTCTGTGGTAAAATTCTCCTTTTGCCATGTTGAGTCGCACATGTCCCATGCCCTTTCTGTACTTGGCCTGGAGTCTGGAGCAGTCTGGACTAGGGATGGGCATGATTAGTTGATTCATCGATAATTGATCATTAAGAATTTCATCGATTATGTTCATTTTTAATTGACAAACCGACTGTAGGTTGCTGTGCGTAGAGTAGGGTGACCAAAAGTCTCTTTTCCCCGGACATGTCTGTTTTTCACGTCCTGTCGTGGCCATCCGCTTTTTTTTTTTATTACCGTGTTTTACGGACGATTAGTCGCTCTGGGTTATAAGACGTCATTAAATGGTCTATTTACGAACTTTTTTCAGAAATAAACTGCACTGGACTTTAAACGAAACACAACAGTTGGATGGGTCAGTCGGACTTTGCTTGTGGCGTTCACGGTGACTCTGGGCTTTGTTCAGTTTTGGCGCGTAGGGAGGGTGCTGGATCGGTCGCGATGACTCAGTTGTTCAGCTGTGACTCAAATTGGCACATAGGACTCGCTTTTTTGGTTCGTTCCTTCATTCCGTTCCTCGTCCGCGTGGAGTGATGAGTGTGGCTGTCGCTGTCTGCTCCGTGTGTGTTTGCGTGTTCTGCGGGTGGTGCGGCTTTGTAGTTTACTGAAGTCGTGCTGGGACGCCCGAGTGGATTCGTGTATGGGGCGCTCTGGATTGTGGGGCGTGCGATAATTTTTTTATACGGTTAGAGGCTTAAGAGCGCATCTAATGACTCAGAAAATACGGTAAGTGATGCAAAAGTACAGGTTTTCATGATCATTCATTGGGCCATTAAAGTGAGCGTCTCTCGTAGCTCTCTGTAACTCAGAAGGAGTGAGTAGACACAAACAGTCAGTCAGCCTGCAACATGCCGAAGCACAAATGCACATTTAACGATGACTTGCACAAGAAATTCCCCGCTTTCCGTCCCGGTCGAGACAAGTGGGAGGACATGTGCACACTGTATAAAGCAGCACATATGTTTCGGTGTCCAGTGGGGGTGTCGGGGACCTCAAAGCACCAGGACACCGAAAAACATTAAAAAGCTTTGCCAGGTGAGAGTAGCTCAATGTCGATGACGCCCCCCCAAACGCAAATATGGTCACACTAACCTGTATTCCACTGAGTCGTGTCCTTTAGTCCGACAAAAGTTGAACCGTATCAGCATAAGTTTAGTTTATGCAAATTAGCCATGCGGTTTTAAGTTTTGTTTCTGTGAGAGTTGTGCAAAACTGCCTTAAACACATTATAATCTCAAACGGGCTGATGTGGCTCTAGAGCGGTTACGGTTTATATGTCTAAAGTTGAATTTATTTATGCAGATTAGTAGTGCAGATAAGAAAATTTAATCAAATGCCCATCCCTAGTCTGGACTAGTGACTGTTGTCATTGTGGAAATGTCAGATTTCTCCCTCTGACAGCTCTCTGATTTCTTGTGAGGTGATACTTGAGACTTTTTAGAGACTTGGAGCTTCTTTCTACAAAATTGCAGCTACTGGACTCACCAAGTCTTGATGAACAACAACGTTAGTACTCTGCCTGTGGGCTGCAAATAATAAATTGGCTGAATCTCATTGCACAGTTGAAGCATTCATTAGGCTTACGGCTGTAAATATTTCGAAACCCTTAAAGATAAAGAAATATGTTTTGTTTTTTTTCCTTTTGATCAGTTGCCCAGCCCTTGTACTTACACATTACATTCTAAAACCATAACTTTTCCCGCTCACAGATACATGGCAGACAGCGGGCTCAATCTTTACGGTCGAAACTCTGGTCGCTCCTCGGACTCTGCTTCTTCTCAGAGACTCAGCAAAGACGTACCCGGAGACATCGACAGGTAAGACCGCTTTCATTTACTCTGTCTGCAGTGGGCTCTTCGGTGGAGACGAACTTAACTCACATTTTATTTACAAAGTTTCATGGTGCATCCTCCCTGTTGCCGTGAAGCTGCGTTCTCCATCCCCGCTTTCCGTCAGTCCCTCACAAGTTTCTTTCTTTCTTTCTGCTGCTCGATTACCGTTTTCGGCTGAATATTTCACTATTTGCAGCGAGACAGCGGCTTTTTGTACAGGAGACATGCGCAGTAGAGCCAAGTGACAGTGGTACAGGAGGAACAGGAGCAGCAGATACTCACACACAAGACTAGAGCCTCTCGTGGCTGTCAGTCTGAACATTTTAATATATAAGTTGCACCGGAGTAGGGCTGGGCGATATGGAGCAAAAAATAGATCTCGATATATTTTGCTATATCTCGATATACGATATATATCTCTATCTGTACAGGAAAAATAACTCCCCAAAAACTACTGCAAAAACAAATATGCCAAATTCGATGGAATATGAGGATGTGCTGCTGATGCTCTTGTCCCGTAAATGATGGAAAAGGTTCAAGGTGCTAGAAGATTTTCTCTGGCACCAACTTTCGGCATTACTGCTCTAGTGAGGAGTGAATGAGCAGTGTTGGGGAGTAACAGATTACATGTACCGGAGTTACGTAATCAGAGTATAAATTATGAGTAACTGTATTCAGTTACAGTTACTGTTTCAGTGAGTGGTAATCGGATTACAGTTACTTTGTTGAAATAAATGGATTACACCACGGTATTTTCCTGTTTTCATATTTTGGGTTAAACCAGGACTAAACCAGTACTAAAACCAGGACTAAATCAGGACTAAACCAGGATTAAAATCAGGACTAAAACCAGAACTAAACCAGGACTAAACCAGAACTAAACCAGGACTAAACCAGAACTAAACCAGGACTAAACCAAGACAAGTATCACCTCACAAGAAATCAGGACTAAACCAGGACTAAAACCAGGACTAAAACCAGAACTAAACCAGGACTAAACCAAGACAACCCCCCCCCCAAAAAAAAACAGGACTAAACCAGGACTAAAACCAGGACTAAAACCAGGTCTAAAACCAGGACAAAACCACGACTAAAACCAGAACTAAACCAGGACTAAACCAGGACTGAACCAGGACTAAACCAAGACAAAAAACAGGACTAAACCAGGACTAGAACCAGGACTAAAACCAGGACAATATCAAGTAACCCAAAGTATTCAGATTACGTTACTCACTTTAAGTAATTTAATGGATTATGTTACAAACTACATTTTGGTGTGTGTAATCTGTAATCTGTAGGGGATTACATTTTAAAAGTCACCTTCCCAACACTGGATATCGCTCTCTGTTCATTGCAATTCTTAGCATTTTTGCATATTTTGGTATCTGGTGAAAGCTGTATTTCCTGAGCAGCAGGTCGTGTGTGAGTCCAGTCTGTGCTGTGTGTATATGTGTGTGTTTGTGTCTGTGTGTGTGTGTGTGTCTGTGTGTGTGTGTATATGTGTGTGTTTGTGTCTGTGTGTGTGTGTGTCTGTGTGTGTGTGAAAGATACTAAACCGTGGAGTGAGGGTAGAAATGTCAGAGAGGTTAGTCCCATTTGAACCAGAGCAGAAACTGTGTCTGAATCTTCTCCTCTGCTTCACTGCACTGATGGAGCTGCCCAAGGAACCAGGCTGTGTGTCAAAACAACACACACACACACACACACACACAGACACACACACACACACAAATGCATGAGCAGAGATGGACTACTACAAAATACCTTTATACTGTGCACTAAACGTAACTTGTATCTATGTGGAGTCCAATGTATTGACTTTATTTACATTTTATTTATGTGTGTATTATTCTTACATCTATGAACATTGTTAATACTGTGCTGCTGGGAACTATGGGAATAAAACAGCAATTTAGAAGCAGTATGTTAATATATTATTCCATTGCAAACAATTATAATATCGTGGAAAAGATTAATGTATTTTTCAGATTCCGAAGTATAAGTCGCACCAGCCAAAAAATGCGTAATGAAGAAAAAAAAAAACATATATAAGTCGCACTTTTTGGGGGAAATTTATTTTATAAAATCAGAGAACAGGAACAGACATTTCATCTTAAAAGAGAAGTTCTAGTAAAAACAATAGAAGAGAGAACAACAGACTGTTAACGTCACATATGAACAGTTCTTCAGATAAAGACAAAAGACAAATCACAATCACACAACAAGACAGAGATAACCCTGAAATTAAACTAAAAGCTACTAGTTTTTTGTCGTGGACATTTGTAAATAGTGTTACTTATAGTGAAAAAGACACTCCATGTCCCGTTTTGTGCTAAAGGGCAGCACACCAGAGCACGGAGCCGCTGTTAAATGGTCTGAGTAGTGCAGACGTGTAATCGATGAAGATCTGTCAGAGTGAGGGAGAGATGACAGAGACTCACTCCAACATATTTACACTGCAACGATTTCGACTGTCGGCCATAAACAACAAGACGACGTGTGAAGAGAAGTGGAACCAACAAGATGGATTCCGACCGTCACAACTATTAACACAGACTATGGTTTATGATGTGTCTCCATTTCGGTTACTTCGAGAAATGGCTTTAAGGCTTTTACTTCTTCATGTTTTGTTGATTGTGGCTTACAGAAAATGAAAATCCAAAATTGAGTGTCTCAGAAAATAAGAATACAGTTGTCCCTCATTTATCGCGGGGGTTACGTTCTAAAATATAACCCGGAATAGGCGAAATCTGTGAAGTAGTCAGCTTTATTTTTTACAATTATATCTGTTTTAAGGCTGTAAAACTCCTCACCACACACTGTTACGACCCAGCTCGTATGGGGGTGAGGGAAGTAACAAAAATAGCCAAGATGGAAAAATTGAATAAATTAAATAATGCTTAATTAACAGGAATGTAAAGGTAAATTAACAAAAGACTAAAATATACAGAAAATAACCTAAACTAAGAAACAGAACAACAGAATAAACTGAGTTTTGTGCCACAAAAGGGGCCACGCAGGCTTACATAAAACGAGAGGTTAACAAAGGGACACACACTAAACTAAAACACAAGTTCCCCAAATTAAACCACATAAGCCCACAAACAGAATTGAGTGACCAAATTAAAAAGGCACAAAACAGAACTAAACTAAGGCTGCGTTCAGACTGCAGCCTGAAGTGAATCCGATTTCTTGGCCCCTATGTTCCTGTATTTGATCTTTTAATGACAGTCTGAACGACACAGATCCGATTTTTTTCAAATGTGACCCAGGACACTTGGATATGTGCTCCTGAAACCGATACATATCTGATCTTTTGACATGTGACTTCAGTCTGAACGGCCAAAGCGCATTCATCCACCTACACGTTATCAGCAAACCACAAATGTACACAAACGTTCTTCTCATCATACGAAAATTGTAAATGAACTCCGTTTCACTGAAGTGAAGCACATCACCACTCACCACTCTTGGCTCCGTCTCCACATCCACACGTTCCTTTTAACAGACGTCGCTGCCGCTGTCCCACAAAACGCCACAGCCAAAAACCTCATCCTTCTCCTTCTCAATCTCCTCCTTAAAACAAGTAAGTTGTTCATGTTCTGGCTCCGGTACGAGAGGAACTTTAAAAATCTCCAGGTGCTCAATGCTGCGTCCATGTTTGGACAACTTCCGTAAACACAGAGCACGCTCGCTGCGGTTGACGTCGTCATGTCTCCAGTGCACATGCGGGACACTTTCGGGCCGTTTTACGTTCACACAGCTGATTGCATACAAGTCGCATTTAATTGGAAATGTGAACGACCTCGCAAAAACATCGGATTTCACAAAAATTGAGCGTTAAGCCCTGCAGTCTGAACGTAGCCTAAACTATACACACGAACACAATATGGCAGACTGGTCACCAAGGCCAGCAGCCCCGAACAGGTGCAGGTAGTCTTCTTAAATAGGGGGCGGAGGCTGCAGGTGAGGTGGGCGTCGACCTGCCCCACCAATCACAGACCAGGGCTCCCACAGCAGGAATCAGGAGAGCTCAGCAAAATAATTTAGAACACTCAAAACAAATTAAAACAAAAGGCCTGGGGCCGTAACACACACTTTATACACTTTTCTCACACAAGACAGTTACAATACTTTTTACATCCTTCTTAAAACTTATTGTTGCTGTCGTCCTTTTGTTATTTTCTGTCCTTCTTTATGTAACGAACCGAAGATTAATTTATTCCTTCGAGCATGTTCAGAAGTCCGACTTTTTTGGGATGGTTTGTGTCTTCCTCTGATTTTGGGTTTGACTGCAGGAACCTTTGTCGGTGCAGAACGTTTCGTCGACATTGTGAGTTTTGTCGGGGAGAAAACTTGTAAACATACAGCACTTCAGAATCACACTTCCGGTCATGTGACTCTGGCATCTGTGCTGAAAAAAAGTCTAAACTCTGATGAAACTTGATGTCTATTATAAATAATGATCAGATCCGAGCGGCACACGAGTGTTTATGGACTAATAATAACCATCAGTGTTGGGGAGTAACTGTATTCAGTTACAGTTACTGTTTCAGTGAGTGGTAATTGGATTACAGTTACTTTGTTGAAATAAATGGATTACATGGCGGTATTTTCCTGTTTTCACATTTTGGGCTAAACCACGACTAAAACAGGACTGAACCAGAACTAAAACCATATCTAATCCAGGAATAAACCAGGACTAAAACCAGGATTAAAACCAGGACTAAACCAGGACTAAACAGTATGAGACCTAATAGTAGGGTGGACATATAAGTTTCTCATTTCTCATATAAAAATCATTTCTCTATCAATAATATTTTTAATTTGGTTAAGGAAAGACTGGACTTTTTATTTTCTTTCTCTTTATTTTTCATTTTTATTATCTTCTACAGCAAACAAAAGTCTGTTCATGGAGACTTGGACTCAACAGACAATTTGAAGAGAACAAACAAGAATTTTCAGGATGTGGCGGGTACATTCAT